TTCGCAGTTGCACATACTTGCAATCATTTGCAATACATGCATGCAATACAATACAATCATTGCAATGCATGGCATAACTCGCAGACAGACGACCAGCTACTGCCTACTATTTTATTATAGAGTATCAGGGTGCGAAATTAACGGGAGTCCGGAGTCAAATACTCCCAGATTTACTGTCGGACTCCCTGATTTGACGTATGTAGGAGTCCGTGTGACTCCCTGAAAATTCTGCCATACTACATAGTTCGTTCCAGAGCACGGCCTCGTGGAAATACCGTATTGTCCCTAATTTTCAGCTAATATCCAAAGAAAATTTGACAGACGTGCAACCGCATGAATCTTAAAAATAAACACAATTAGTTAATATATTTAATTTTGCTGACTCCCTCATTTTGCTGCGGGCTCCCTCTTTTTGAGGGTAGGGAGTCCGTTGGACTCCAGTGTCAACGGACTCCCGTGTTCAAAAGTTAATTTCTAACCCTGCAGTATATATATATATATATATATATATATATATATATATATATATATATATATAACTGATATATCATAACTGATATATATATAACATATATTTATTCACATATTGATAGAATATTTACAAGTTGAAAACTATGCAAAACGCTGTTAAAACGGTGTCATACTCTGTAGTAGAGTAATGAGGGCTTAGGATGGTTATAGGTTTTTATAGGTTAACATCATTATCATGGCATGAAAGAGTATTATAATAAAGGCAGTAATTGACTGTACAATTTTCAGAAATGTGTGGAATGCAGGATTGAACATGACAAAAATAAATGACGAAATGACAATTTAAAGTCACGGAACCTAATAATCGTAACATAAGTGAGGCAATCAATCATGTTAATCAAAGTGAATCAGCATGGGATTATGTTAGCAAATCAGAACATAATATAGTATCGCAATAAGAACAGTAGTTGTTAAATCAGCGAATAGAAGTGCGTAGGCGTGAAAGGCGTAAACATAACAAAAATAACATCTCCATATATCCTTACCGTACTATAGAAAGCTGCGTGGTAATGTAAATTATTGCAAGTAGACCTTTACACTTGTATTCGGTGACATTATATCATAACGTACCTTAAATGTGATATTGTGCAAAGAAATGATAATATGAAAATATCGCGGATTGCAGAACATTAAAAAATATTTATGGAGTAGACGAACGAACTTTGCCTTTCTGTTTCTCTTTGCGTACTGCTTGACCCGAGCGGATTTGTCCCCATGGCAACAAACCATGATGTGGTTGGCGGATTTCTGTTAGCTGATTGGATAATTGGTTTTTCCGTGTTTCCTACAAATTTTGTCGTCCCTAGATGGAAATTTCTTTATATTAACTCCAGGCTGGGTAGGCGTGTCCAGTATGCGCGCCAACTATGGTTGTAAGCAGCACGGTAGTTTAGGAGCAGAGCTGGCACCCAGACACAGAGATTGAGCTTATAGCATAAACATATAAAGGCCGTTGGCGACGCGGTTTCTCACGCACGCACGCACGCACGCTGACCTGCTTATACCCCGCCGCAACTAATGCGGATTAACTGCACGCGTTTAAAATCCAAGAAACTCGACTGATTTCCAAGAACATGAAAATATAAACGGTTTATATATATAATAAATATAATATTACGTAAAATAAATTTTTACGGTAAATGCCAAACTGACTATGCCTGCCGGAGCAAGCCAGCTTTCCTGCATGAAACATTTCTCGCGATCAACAACAGCTCGTAGGAAATACAGCAGAGTAGTTCGTAACACTTGCTTCTAGAATCAATATAACATTTTTAATGCCTAAGAGAAACGCTATTTCTGTCGTGTCTCACTGTCTGTCTTTCCGTCTGTCTCTTTCTCTCCCTCTCGCTCCCCCCTCTCTCTCTCTCTCTCTATCGCTCCCTCTCTCTCTCTCCTCTCTCTCTCTCTCTCTCTCTCTCTCTCTCTCTCTCTCATATATATATATATATGATATTGCCGCTAAGGATTCCTGACATTCGTGATATTTAGAGGACGCCCGTTTATATCAACAGGAATGCATCGGCAACAATTAAATTGAATACAATAATGAAACCCAATGTAACGACATGGGTCCTAAACCATGGTTTCTAATGATGGGTTTCTAAACATTGTATTTTTGCTTTACTTGTACATTAGCCATTCAATGGCACATCTTTGCATCATCCCCACAGCATTCTGAGCGCTGCCTTGTCTCGTGAATTCCAACGAATTTACACGGTTGCCCTTCTGGGTGCAAACTAGCTCCAACAAACGGTCTTGCTAGGGTTAGAAGACAATAGACAATCAGTCGCACAGCCTCGTCGGCCTAGGTGCAAACGAGCTTTATGCACGCTACGGAATACAAGTAAAACTGATAAGTAAAGATAATAAATGAAAGGTATGATTAAAATACAAGGTATTAGCAGAAGTATAAAGCCTGGTATCTATAGCAAACCACGACGCTACCGCTTGACTCGTATAGCAGTTTCACGCCCGCCTTGAAGGTAATAACGCTACCTTATTTCATTTCGACGCGAGTTCGCCTTACGGGCAGCTTTACTCCCCCGACCAGTCGTTCCTAACACCCCAGGGGGGTCGACTTCCGCGTGACCGACAACCCCCCCACCGTGCTCATGCGCCATGAAACACTTTTAACGTGCGGGTCGCATGATAAGCCAAAACAACAACGCACAAACACGCACGCACACACGCGTACGCACGCACGCGATTAAAAAAAAAATCAGCCCCTGTCACATACGCACACGTACACGAGGGCGAGTACGTCATACTATAACCCATCATCAGCAGCGCAACTTGTTTCGTCCTAAAGCGTACCGATTAGCAGAAACACTCGTAATTTCATATATAGTTACGTGAAATGCATTAATTAATTGGATTTCAAATAAGTCATAAGCCAGACGGAACTAATGGAAGCCCTTCAGTTTTTCAGCATAGGTTAATCATGACAGGATAAAGTAATTAAACTGAAAATGTATTTGCGACGTGTAATAAAGGGCAGCAGTGCTGCGTTGCAATTTAAGGTACACATGTTTTCATTGTCGAGAAACAGTTCAATGGTGCAGGTAAATTGATCTAATCAGCTCTATAACAAGACTGTATAGACGTTTTTTTCCAACCTGCCCTCTCCTTCCGTATTATATGTCTGTTTCTCTGTCTTTCTGTCTCTCTCTCTCTCTCTCTCTCTCTCATACACACACAAATACACTTCTATATCGCTTATGCTATGCTTATTAAAATCAAAGCATGGATTATTGCAAATAATTGTTCTATCCAGTTTTTTCAACATTTGAGTGACATATTTAACTGTGAAATTGCAGCCGTGTTCACTGCACAGCTACAATTGACAGACTACAGGATTTTCATCAGTTCTAGGGTGCGATAAGTGTAAAGCCAACAGACGCATTGAGTGTCCAAATGTCACTCACTGGTCAGCTAACATTTACTTACTGCTAGAAAGTAAATGCAGCTATCAGCAATACCAGCTGTACGTTGCTTCCAGTGACGTTCGTAAGCACAGAAATCTGCTATTCGATCACTGATTTCATCTCCACTTTTGGGCATAGGCTTGTCAGTTTGTCCACATGAGCGCGTGTCTCGAATAACAACGTAGAAGATTTTCTGTTTGAGATGCCGAAATCAATTAACTCCTCTGCCTGAACACTAGCTCTAATACTATAGCCCGCGTACAGTTGCCGCAGGGCTATAGAACATTTTAGACCTGTAAACAACAAAATTGAAAACGAAACGCAAGTAGTGCTAGCACTTTGAGGAATAAATGCGTAAATACATGCTGTAAAGTTGTGGAAAGTTTTCAAAATATAGGTTGAGATGTCCATGTAGATAAATAAGTGTTAAAAAGCCCGATCATTCTGCGTTTTGTGAGCCATTTTTCGTTGAAGCATTGGGGGACAGGTGCAGTTACGAAACCTGGCATAAAATGTTCTATAGCCCTGCGGCAACTGTACGCGGGCTATAGTACTAGAGCTACCTGAACACATACTGCCACGGAAGCTAATTATAATGCCACGTTCTACCTCATCAACTGAAAATAACGCACCTTTGTGCTACCCAGCAGCATTTACCGTACTATCGAGAGCTAATAATATCTTATTATTAGCTCTTGGTACTATTCATAACACCAGCAGCATAATTACTATACCTAATTACAGCCATAGCGTAATTACCATACTTAATAATAGCATACAGTACCGATGACATTCCAATGTACGGAGGAAAGCGGAAACGCCTATACTCTATACTAGGATCTAGTGCTATTTTATTCTTGTTGTTTGTGCACAGGGCGTGCGTGCGGTGTACTTGTGTGTTGTAGATGAGCATTTGAACGACATTTACAGCAAGTTATCGACAATAATAGGCGAAATAGAGTAGAGAAACATTAAGACTTTGGTAGTAAATACATTTCGTGTTTATTTACCTTTTTTTATTGAGACGTTCCAAGTGCCTGTGGTCTGACTAGTTGGTAATTCGACAAAGCGAGAATCCCGAGTTTCTCACGGGGCAGCGCACGCAGTAGACGGGCTCATTACATGACGACCAGACAGGTAGGTAGGTGACGTGTACGCGTGTAGTGCGAACACGCTGAATATTTCATGAGAGGTTACCGCCTACAGATGCGGTTTATTCGCGGGCGAGACGCAGCGCATCGTAAATGAAAGTGTCAATGACACTGTAGCTCACCACAAAAAAGAACACAAATGAGTGAGTGAGAAGAAGTCAGTTTTAATTGAGCAACCATCGACGTACATTATATCAAGACGGGAAACGTCCCGCGACTAATCAACGCCGATTTGAATGGCGGCTTCCACCAGCAGAGCTTGCGATGCGTCACCACCAGGTGGCGCCCACTACACCCGACTCTGCGACTATGTGAATAGTCTTTTCTTTCACCAAGCAAAGCGACGCGCGCATCCGTTAGTTGGTCAGCAAGGCCGCGACGCACAGCTTCGTACCTTTCTTGTTGACGACGCACGCTAGCGCCACCACCCTGCCTTCCACGGGTTCGATGACTGGCACACAGAGCATCGACTGAACATCACAGCCCAGCATGTTTACAATCTCCAGCCGCGACTCCTGCAAACAGCGACGACGATTTGTCCGATTAATAAGTAATATACGATAACGTGCGATATGAACATCTCGTTAATGAAACGGTTATTCGTCTAGCATTGCCAATATGTCAACTGTCATCACAACCGACATATAATAAATAAATAAATAAATATTTATATATATATATGTTTAATATGTAATGAATTACGACTTAAGTTTAAGATTAAGTGAGGATCGAAGTAAGCTGCACATAGACAGATACATACGAGAAATGTCTGTGTTACAGTGTAGCTATGTTCAGCACTTACTGTAGTGAGATTTTGCAGTGTGGCTGTGTTCTATACTTACTGTAGTGAGATCTTGCAGTGTGGCTATGTTCTATACTTACTGTAGTGAGATCTTGCAGTGTGGCTATGTTCTATACTTACTGTAGTGAGATCTTGCAGTGTGGCT